CGCTAAGTATTAACGCGCTCATGCTTACCCGCTTTGTAGGAGGCGGTCGTGGTGATGGCGACGGCGGCGGCGCTTGTGGTATTGGCGTTGTGGTGAAGCTCCTGCACCAAGTGGTGCTAGCCGGTGGTGGGAGCAGAGTTGAATATCAGCCGAATCCATTTATCGAGAGAGATAGAAACGATAAAAATTGAGCAGGAAAAGCCAGACGGCTGAGCGGGAGCCACGAATTGAAATGTCATCCGAACGATTCGGGACGACATCTAAATCATCTAAGATAAGGTCAGAGAATCAGCGAAGAAGAAAAAACGCTTTCAGGTTTCTTCTGCCTCTTCTGTCTCGCTACTCTCACTGTTTTCTTCTAACTGCTGCTCAGCGAACGCATATCTGGGACCTGAGACCATACATAGCGCAATCTTGTCAATTTATTGAGCGGGCAACTCGCGGGTGCGACGGCCTCCACCGAACCGAAACAATCCCGAGGAAAAGGAAAACCAGCTTTCATTTCGTTCGAAGAATCCATTCTCGATTTGCGGAGAGAAACAGAAGGATCCGCGGACACGTTCTAGGCGCAGCCCGAGACAAGCGTGAACGACGCGATCTCCGTGAGCCAATGAGACTCGATCGGAAAATAATTTCCGTGCTTTATTCCGTTGATGGGTGTTGTGGTGGATCGTGATCGCGATTTTATCTTCTCTCGGAATCAAGTGATTCTATTTGTCTGTGGTAAGATCCGCCAGAGAAAAATTATTTATTTTCCATGCCGCCGCCAGCTCGTATTTAGGAGTCATCGATCAGATGTGGAAACGATCGGGGTCATTGTATGATCGCAGTGTAGGTATACCGTCGTTGGCTCGATGTCTCTGCCAAGGGAGAGGAGAGGGTACTGAATGAGCAGGTGGAGTTTCGGTGGAATGGGCTAAGGTCTAGCCGGATTCCGCTCGACTCGGATAAGTAGAATATACGTGACGATCTCGTGACTGCAAACTACGAGTCCGTTGTTGATGGACCGCACGGAAGATGGACGACGTGTGATCAGCTAGCTGCACTCCAGTTTCACTTCAGTTGTTCGCGTGCTTGCTTGCTTGCTCGCTTGCTCGCTCGTTCGCTTGCTTGCTCGCTCGGCCACTCACTCACTTAGTCGTTGGCCCACATGAGCATTGGTACAAACAACATGGTTCGAATACGAAGTGCGATTCATGACATTGAATCTCACTCCAGGTCCCGAACTATCTCGAACAGACTCGATCGAAGCTCTGAGTTTCCTGAGTCGACAGCGCGCGAGAGCAGGAAAAAAAATACATAAAATTCAAGCTTGCCACAGAGAGGAAGATATACAATCCTCCTGCTGTTGTTGCGGCCGCCGCAGATTCTTCTGTTTCTCTCGATCTGATGCAACGACCACCACCAGCTGATGGCTGCTCAATGAGCTGAGAAATTGAGGCCTTGGCGACAATGAAGAAAAAAGCTACGAACCACTGTCGTAAATATCGGCAATTTGAAAGAAAACTCCTACAGGGCCGAGCATGCGACTGCGCAACCAATGAGCGAGCCAATGAGTGTGCAAGCGACTCAATGATGAGAGAGTGAACGGAGGAACGAACTATCGAGAGAGCAGAGCGGCCGACCTACCTACCAAGCGACGAATTCGAACGCCAAGCACTTCCAAGTTCGCGCGGAGGACAACAGCACAGAAAGAGAATTTATTGTCTGTGAAAATCGTCACTTTTTCGCGTTCGCCAATAAATTGTCACATCAGGCGACATACGGATCAAATGGCATCCCTCGTGCCAATTGAGGCGGTGAGGCTTGCGAACTGATTGACAAGCGTCTCCACCGCGTCAATCAAGGAATCAAGGCATAGAGTTCCATCGAATCTGGTGCGCACTCAGAACTCATCGTTGTTGCCTACGATATAGTAAGTCGCATCGGATTCCATGATGTGAAGATATGCTTCGGTCAAAACTCTGCTTATTCTTCGTAGAGAGGGGTTCCTCTCCTGGAACAAGTCGAAAATAGCTGCACACACATACATAATGGCTGTGGCATCGCTTCCTCTGCTTCAGACCGAGTCTGGTCACTTAATTCATCAACATATGTTATTGGTTCAACGCCATATGCTTGAGGCTACAGCCTGAACCGATAGTCGCCAGAGGGAGCCATGGATTTGTCTCGCGATGATTATCATCGTCATCGTTTTAACGGTCCTCGATCTTTTTCTTCCCTTCGAATACGTCAGGATCGCCTCCGGTATATGAACATATGAACACTGATCAACTTTCAAGTACAAAAAGCGTAGAATTGGGATGAGCGCTCGATATCAGTCCCTGAGAGAGACGCTCATCGAGCTCGAACAAAAGGTAGCACAAACGGAAAGCGCCGGGAATTCTTCGGGGGAACACGTGTGTGTAAACGAGCGTTTGTCGATCGTGTTTTCGGTTTCGGTCCTTGCCGTTCTCCGATTCGTGTAGAGCAACTGATGGCGGTGGCGGACAGATCGACCAACATGGGCGTCGTTCGACGCTGAAGAAAGATAAAAATATTCTCCTCTGAAAAGCCTGTTGTTTCAAATGCTTGCTTTCGTCGCCCGGGCGAGTAAGAAGCAGGATCCACAAGATCGATCCGGTGCGCCGAATCAAGAGCAGCGTAGTGATATCTACGGCTTCATATAACGACCACATCGAAGCCTCGGAGCCGCGCCATCGGCTTCACCGGCGAGCGACGACTTCTCTCGATCCCTTTTATCTGTCCCCCGGTTTTGCTGGCGATTCGATTGATTGGAATAATGTTTCTGCTTATTGCCCCAATCAAAAAGTATGATCTCTCCTCTTGGGTGTACGGACAACCCAGCCGATGACTCCGCTTGGCAATTACTTTGACTCGATCGAACTCTCTCCTCCAAATAAATAAAGTTCGATGATGAATGCTGAGCTCGTTCACGAGAATCGGAATTCAGATCGGGAGCGATTATACTCGCACGTCCAATTCCTCGAACGACAGCCACTCGTGGAAGAAGAAAACCCGAGACTTGCCGAAATTTCTGCTGCGGCGTCCTTCTGCATATGATAGTTTCATATATCACCAGCTTCTGGTCCATGTTCGAGCGTGCGCCGCGCCGCGATTACGTGTGACATGGGAGCAGAAGAAGCACCGCCAGTCGAGAACGAAATATAAGGCGAACGAAATGCCATGGGCGAGGCATGGCGAAGGCAGCGCAATTCGTAGTGAGGCAAGGCGACCGAAGCAAACGAGTGAAGCCGAGCGGAGACGACGAAAGCCAACAGGAGGAATAATTTTTACAACTAGCGACGTCGCCGGGAGGCTGCATCGCCGTCGAAACAAACGAGTCTCCGCGAGAGAATGCCGAACGGAAAGCGTCATTTGAAATGAGCATTTTTCTTCAGCTGTGTTTTTTCCTCTGGCTGTCTTCCATGATGCTAGCCAGCCAGCCAGCCAGCCAGTCAGTCAGTCAAGCAACCACCCGGTCAACCAAACATGCGGCCATCTAGCAACGTCATCATGTCTCGCCGACGAAGTGCAGGCAGCAGCAGCAGCAGCGGCGAAAACAGAAGGACAAAGATATACGAAAAGAAGAAAGAAGGACAACGGCCCCCTCTTCCCATTGGACACTGGCTGCTGCCGTCCTCATCGTCATCGGTGCAGTAAACACAGCAACACGAGGAATTCTGATCCCGGCACTGTCGTTTATCTCATGGACAATGACAACAATGGTTAGAGGAAAACGGCACAGAACGTTAACTGCCGATTGCGAGTAACAATCGCGTTTTGATTCGCCTTGGTGAGAAAGAATGAATGAGAATCCTAGCCTAGACGACGGAACGGTGACGCAGAAAACGCCGAAGAGTTAAGCGAGGGAGTCCAGGGGAATCGAATCGGTATGATTGACGATTCGCGAAATTTCTAGCGCGAGTTCGACAGTTAAGCCACGGATCGGATGTACCGGGACTTGAAGCACGCAGATTTGAATCAGCTCACTCGAGTCCATGAGGGAGCGAGTTCCTCTCCATCCAGATCGTGATTCGCGAAAACGCTCAGCGAGAGAATCGAAGTATGTACCTAGATATACTGGTATGAAGAGAGGGGAATAGAGGGACTCTGCAGCTGTTACTCTCCTTGGTCATCATCTGTCAAACAGCTATGCATCACCGAATCGGCTCTCTATGGCATAAGGCAAGTTTATCCCAGGGAATCACGCTTTCCACCGTGCTTCGCGCATTTGACTCTTCATACCCTCGTCGAAAAGAATAGAATACGCTAGGAATCGTCCGTGAGCACCATAAAAGGGAATGTATTCTCGGCCAGAAACTCCGCGTATTCTTTTCCATTTCATCTCTCGAATCGGAGACCCACGCGACGGTAGGAACGTGCCTCGACGAGGAACTCAGTCATTCCGACGAGAGAAGAAGAAAAACTTGAGTCCTGCCGGGGCTCGATATGACATGTTGTTTTCTCCTTGCTCTCGCTGTCGACCTACTCGAGTCGTTTTCTCATTTTCTATCGTAATACAGGAGCTTCCTAAGCGTGCGTGAGTGAGAGCTGTTTTTTTTCTTCGGTTGGATTTTAGCTGTCTCAGTCAGTCGGTGAATTCTGCTTCTGTATCTCGAACATTTCGCTATGGATGATGTAGATGATCTGCTCTAATTTTAGAGGCACGAACAGAAGATGTGAACAACAAACGAAATACGATCCACCATATTAGGAGGCGCTCTTCTCTATTTTCTTCTTCTTCCCTTACGAGTGCCTCGGGTCAGAGTTCAATCAACACACGGAATCCTATGATATTCTTTTCCTTGACAGGTCGAGAGGGACCGGTGAGGGGTTGTTAATCCGGGAAGCTTCCAGAGAAGTAATTTTTTCGCAAACGATTCTAGAATATCGTCCAACTATTTCGCCTAAAAAAATCCACTGATCTGTCGACCCATCTCTAATCGTCTGTCCTGAGCACAGACAACCGACAACAAAAGGCAAAAGGCTGTACATACCTCGCCGTGGTGCAGTCCTTGTAGAGCACGTCGAAGTCCTTACAGGCGAGCAGTTTGCAGCGGTTGACACCGGGTTGGATTGCTCCGAGACCGCGCAGGACTCGCACTTGCTCAACGTTGCAAACGATCGGACTGATGCCAAGTCGCTTGAGCTTGGCATAGACGGTGTGCAGGCCACCTACGAGGTGCTTGAGAAAAAGTTCAAACGCCTGTGGTAGGCAAAGCAGGTAGTCGCCCTGGTACGCGAACGCCGCAACTTTTTCGCCGCGATAATCGATCAGTCTGCACTCAGTAGCGTCTACGGAAGGCCGACTGCATGGGACTCCGGGCGATTTTCGAGGGTCCTGGAAGTTTGGCCCTCCCCGAAAGCCATTGATGACATTGCAGAACTGATCGCAGAGGGCAGCTGCATTGAAGTTCGTGGGAGATTGATGTTCATCGAGCAGTCTCCGATCCTGGAAATGAGGATACATCTGCTGCAGCATAAGAGCGGACGCGGCCAAGCTGTTGGCGTTCAGGGACGCCGGTTTGGGAGATGACGGCGATCCGGATCTCGATTCGTCGGAGTTTGCCGAATGATGACGCTGTCTCTGCGTCGACGAATAGCTGGAGAGGTTTTCGGGCAGCTGCACGTCGGTGGACATTGTGTGTTGTTGAGGTGGTTATCGTTGGTGGACAATGACAGCGTTGATGTGGTATCTGGTTCTTGCCTCCTGGACCAGCAAGCGACAAAATGGTCCGCGGAAACTTCTCTACCTGCACCGAAAGACACTACACACCGTCACCGCAGCGAAGCTCGGTGTCCTCCACAACAGTTCGATGATACTCAGTAGACAAGGCCTGCAAGGATGCAGGCAGGCAGCCGGACAGCGAGAGTTCGATCACAAACGAGAATCACTTTTCTGGTTTCGATGTGCTAGAAGCTGTTTCGGGTGGCAGCGAAGGCAACAAGTGCTGCTCGCTTGAGGTTATGCTTGCCCTCGCACAGACGTCGACGACAAAAACGTGAGATTATGATGAAGGCTGTTTGCGCCCAAAAGTGTGTGACGGCTTATCGATTGTTCGATCGGTGGGTCGGTAGGTCGGCCGATCGTTTGTACTTGCACGCCTCCTTACAATGCAAAGGGTCGATACTGAGGACGGTCCGGGAGATAGTCCGATGGGGTGCTCACCGGTTCACGGTGGGTTCGGACTAGTTCGTTCACGAAAAGCCTACGACGGAGACGGGATACGACACGAAGTCGGAGAGTTGTAAAAATGGCAGGGAGAGGTGCGCGGAACGACTTTCGCCATGGAATATTGATCGACGCGACAGGCTCGAGCGCACTTGCTTGGGACCGAATCTCTTCGGTCGTTCTCGAGTCGCAATGATACGCTTCACGATCAGGACCTCAATGATCGTCCCTCCTCGAGTAGCGAACTAACTCGTTAGAGGGAGGGCGGCCCACCGAAGTTCTCGGGTCAGCTGATGCAAAACACGTAGACTTCCACAGCGGTCGACTTGTTCTCTGGCGGTCGGCGTTGGTCGCGCAGTCGGTCAATCGACGAGAGCAAGCGATCGGGTGATTCGATCAGTCAGTCGAGCAATCGATCAGAAAATCGACGGTTGCACTAACAGTCACTTTCACTCACTTCTTAATCTAGTGCTCGAATCGAGTAGCTTCCACCAAGGCCCAGGCCGGCCTGACGAGAACGAAAGTGTGACTAGATGGGTTGTTCTCAATAGTGAGCACAGTCCGCCTCAGCGAGGTGTAGAACTCATTGAGTAGCAATGTACGTAGAAGGGTGAGCACACGCACAAGCACACCCGATGCAACACAGTTGTAGCAGCAGTCCAAGGTAGTCGTCGTATGATGTGGGCAGCAGTCGAGCCCCGACTGACTATGTGAGTGAGCGAGCAGGGCGAACGAACGAACGAATGAACAAACGAATCGGCACAACACACAACGACAGAGAGCAAACCGACTCCACTCGTCGAGCTCGACGAGCACTCTGCCTGCCTGCCAACTGAATGCAATTGTGAGCGAGGACTCTGGTGGCCGCCGTTACCACCGCTGCTGCTGCTGCCGCTGGTACCGCCGGCCGCCGCTGCTGCTGCTGCTACCGCTCAGCAACGAGAGAAAGAGAGAAATTACTTTTTTTCTTCTGTGCTCACTTCGTATTCGTCTGCATTGTGAATCTCGATGTCGCTGCTGATCGAATGCAGCGCCCTCACCTGGGCGGAGTTGGCGTTCGCGAGGCGGAGTCTTCTGTGCGATTGGTGCTCGAGTCGGCGGCCGCTACTGCTCAGTGAGGATGTGTGTGTGTGTTTCGGTTGTGGTTGTTAATGCTGCTTTCCTTTACGTTTATAATGTGGTTCGTTTTTCGATGCAGATTTCTTGGCGAGGGAATACCCGATCCGAGGAGGAGGGAATCACCCGGGCCTCTTATAGCTCAGTTGTCGTCCGACTACGGTCGAGGACGGGCGCCTGGTCACGTCATCTCGCGCCTCCGATTTGAGCCAATGTCGGGAGGTCTGATGCAGCCCGAAGAACATACCTAGATCTCGAATAGAGAATAACTTGGATAAAAAAGAGACTGAGCTTATACTCTTCGTCGATTCATAAATGAATGTCCTTCAAGGAAAATCATCCTCTCGATCCCGGACGTACCGAATGTCGCTAGTTGCTTACAGCCCGATCGGCAGAGGAAAAATCCCGGGAGTCCGTCAACGATCTCCGATTGGGATCGAAATTATTGTCGCGAATGACTCTGTATTCTCTACATTAATAGTGAAAGAGAGCACCGCGAACTCGGGGCTCACTTTCGACCGAAGACAGAAAAGACGTGAACGTTTTCTACGCGTTCCGCCAGATGGCGCCAACGGCTCCGTAAATGAACTTCAGAATAACGTTCCTATGCGCTCTTCATGTCGACTCTCCACCAACACGGTGGTTCACGTGTGCCATTCGAAACGTAGGATCGGATTCGACCTCGCTCATCGGTCGGAGGATTCGATCCTCATCGAGGACTTCGGAGGAAGCCGCTACATTCTGCGGAGGAAAATTCCGGAGATTTGGCCACCTACCTTCCCGGAGAGCTTAGAGACGATTGCATAGAAAACGCCGCGCATCCGCAGGGAGCTCAGAGAGAGCTCCGTTGGGTGTCACAGTTCCGAGAAAAGTCCAGCTTCCGCCGCCGGGGCGAATAATGATCGACATGATGTCTTGCATCGTGTCTCTCGTCGTGCTCAAAAAGAAGAATGGAAGTTCCTGCTTTGCTTTCTTGACCCTCTCGACAGGCCAGGAGGACTCGAGCCGCGGCTCGCCTGCCAGCATACGCGAGCTCGCGGGCATCGTCTTGTTTTCGGTGCGCCTACCGAGTTTGACGACGCTCCCTATTCTGTCAGTCTTCAATGATATCTATTTGCTTCTTCCACCGTTGTGTTGGGTCGTCGCTTCTCCGGTCGGCGAACGAGTCAGTCCGTGCGTCAGTAAGTTCAGCTAAATCGCACCGGGGTGAAGCACAGAGTTCGTCGCTTCTGGTCCCGACCGACTGGCCGGTCTGACTGACTGACTGACTGACTGACCGACGGTGGGAGAAATCACAAAGCACTCGAACAAGAGGCAAAGAGCCGACGGAGGACCACACAGTGATTCCGTTTTGAAGCATCGCGCACGCTCGAATGGAGTCGTTTGATTTGATTCTTTCATCGATGGCTGGCGCAGACGACGATGATGGCCAGGAGCTTTTCGAAAACTTCAAATGACAATCGTGGGTGCAAGCCTACCTACCTTCTCCCCGAATGGCGAGCCTGTTTGCCGTTTCAATCGATTGAACGACTGGTCGCTCAAGCAGGCAGGATGTCTCGAGACATGAGACCACCTGGGCGCCCTTCAGCGGACACCTTGCTTCAGAATCGGGATAGCCACTCAGAGAACGGACCCGAAAGAACAAAACGTTCGATTCGACATCCTCGTCGATCTGGAAATTCACCTCGCGCCGCACGGATCGAGAAATAGTGTAAACGCTTTGATGAGGAGTCGAATTGAAGCCCGGCTTCTCAATATCACCGGCCCCATCGCGGAGAAGTTCACTAAAACTCGGTTCGTCCCAGACAGTCGATTATTCCCAGCTCAGAAGTCGGTTTCTGAAAACGTATAAACTTTCAAACGGAGAAATGTACGCCCCCTCATTCGTCTGGCTTCAAGTTTACGGAATGCACTCGCAACCACTCCAAATTGAGAGAAGAAGAAGAAGAAAAAGAAAATGAACGAGTTGTGGCCGATGCTCCGGCGATGACGATATCAAATTCGTCGAAGATCCTGGCTAGGTGCTGGCCGCTTAGCGGATGCGGGGCTCGGGCCTGTTTGCCCACCTAGCTGTTCGAATGTCCGAGTGGCCGCTTCGAGAGCCACAATTAGCATTCCTGTTATAGCTCCGGTATGGCTCGTGGCTAAATTGAATTTCGCCAACTCCAGGTAAAGAAACAGCGGGTTAAGATCCACTCAGATTAATTGCCGGTTAACACACACACACACGAGAATGTACTCCGTTTGAGGCGGATAGAAGGATACGCGAACACACACACAATTGATTTAATGTCGCTACCTAAGAAATTTCCTTGAGATGGATGGAGATGATCCACGAAGCTTCCGAGATACCGAGAATGGCGTCTGAGTCAGGTGATCTCCCATATCAAGACGTGCGAAAGGAACGCTTAATCATACTTCCTCCTTTCTCAACGATTGGCTGAGCGTGACAGGCTCGAGCTCGAGACATGGTCAGAAAAGTCCGCAGCGGGCGGCGAACGGAAGAACTTGCACCGAGATGCTTCCATCGCTCCTTGACGTCTTAGATACACTTCTCGTCGACTCCGTTCCCTCCCGTGACTCGTGACTAGGTGGCGCCTAACAATTCAATCTACAACACTCTGAATTGTCGAAAATAGATTTACACCTAAACACGAGGCTCTTAGAGAGAACATGGTCATTCTCGGTCGTCCAGGTGCTGTTGTTTGGGAACTATTCACTCTGCCTCTTGCTCCGAGAAGTACAGCCAGGTCCGGCAGAAAGTCAGTTCAGTCGTAAGCTGTAATTGTAGGTTACGAATTCGCTAAACGGTGGGTCAGAGGTCGCTATGGGGGAGTTGAGACAGATCTTCACGAAACAGCTCTCCGACGGAATCCTCATAGATTCAATCAGAAGTTTCAGTTCCATTTCGAGTGTTCGCACCACTTAGTTAACAGGAAATCGCCGGTATCCAGTCAGACGGGAACTCACAATCAGACACAGCACTCGTTCAGCTCGAGCTGCATACACTAACCTGCGACTTTTCCTTCTGAATTTATGTCCGAATATATTTTCGGATCGGGGTAATAATGCGGAAGTTTTCATTTTCGCTCAGGAGTAGAGTCGTCTGACCAGTACGTTAACAGCCTAGATCTGGGGAAAAGAAAAATCTGGAATAGAGTCCGGAGCGGGTATCGCCTTATTTTTTGACGGAACCTCCAGCGCTCCGCGGAATCCCGGGTCCGAACGCTCAATTCAGTTCACCTATTCTGAAAAGGACAGAGAACAGGAATATAAATGATTATAGCTCAACAATGAGACCGCTAAAGCTCGAACGACTAGCAAGCGATTTGGTTCGCCTGTTGAACTCCTGA